GTCTTCCAATTAATCCTGCTAAAATAATAGAAAAGCCTGCTTTTTAAGCAATAATAACAAATGAGCAATGCCACACATTTACATCTATTAGATTGAACCACATAAAATTGCTGATGTTCAACCAGCTCTGACCTACAAAACAGCAATTTCAGATGATTTGACTTAATACGTTTTTCCTGTCTCAGGATAACCTCCAAAGTCCTCTGAGTGCCCACAAGCTCTCCCAGGGTCTGCTCCTCACACCTGGCCCCTGGCCGTCAGGATCCCCACAGCTAGCTCTTTTCCTGCTCTTCTGGTCAAGACCCCTGACTGGGCCCTGACCCCTGGAAACTCATTTCTGTCTCAGGGCCTTTGCAGCTGCTGCCCCCTCTATCTAGAATATTCCTATCCCAGCTTACGTTTCCTTCGGCCTTTCTCTGTTCATCCAACATGAAGTCAACATCCCCTCCTCTTGGCTCCTCCCATGGCCGCTGACTGGCCGAGTCTCTCTCCAGTGCTCACCACTGTGACCCACACTTGTTTACAGTCCACCTCCCCACCGTAGTGTAAGTGCCCAGACAGCAGGGACTTTGTCTGTGTCCTCAGGGCTTGGCATAGTGCCAGACGAGTGGTAAATGTTCAATACCTGTTTATTTGCATGAGTGAAGGAGTGATTTTTGTCAATGAGGAAATGGAGGCCAGCTGGTGGAGGGATTTCCCCAAAGGCACAGAGCTGGTGCCTGGAGGGCTGGAAGGAAGCCACACACATGCCAACCCAGGCTCCATAAAAGTCACCCTGCTTTCTGGTGTCACGCTGCAGAGTCCATCTGACTCTATGGCTTTGTGTTCATCAGTGGCCCCAGAGGTGCCTTCATGGTTTGAGATTCTATTCCCTACAGCTCAGTCTCTATTTAGTGAGGGCCTGGGAGAGCAAGGTTCTGATCCTCATGCAAACAGGCATGACTGGGAGCTAGGCTAAGAGTACTGACGTGATGATACTCTTAGCAAAAAAGTCCCAACCAGTCATTCTTTGGGGGAGGTGGGACATTAATCCGAGCCTCAAAATATGAAATATTCCCCAGCTTGCAAATGAGTGCAGGATGTGTTTGCACAGCGACCACCAAGAGAGCAGTATTATGTGGAGAGGAACAAAAAGACAAAGCTCCTCGGTTCAGTTCTGGGAGCTGATGGCTCTGCTCACCCCAGGAGGTTGCCTCTGTGCTGCTAATTACAATGAGTTAAGGAAATGGGAAAGTGAGCCTGCTGAAGGGATCTTTCTCCGCCCCCAGGTTCCTGCTTTGAAAAGAGCTGGTCTTAGGGTTTTAGAGCCCTGGGGGCCAGCAGAATAGGCCTAAGGTGCCGCTGCATAGACACATTCTCCTAGCCTCAGGTCCCTGCCAGGGCTGCTGGTACACATGCATGTGTGCAGGTGGGGGTGTTTGTGGCAGTGAGGTGTATGGCTGGGATGCTGCAGAGTGGGGTGGGATGCTGCAGGGAAGTTATCTACTCACCTCTCACGAGCATTTAGACTTCATAAAGGGCTTTGCACATCTCATCTTACTAAGAGCCAAGATACCAAGTCTGCTAGCTCATAAAGATGTGTTGACCTGCCCCGCATCAGAGTTCCAGAATGTGCCTTTGTGGTTTGAGCCTTGATTTCACTATTCCACGCTCTTCATAACCCCTGGGCATTCACTCCCCATTATTCGGGAAGTTTCCCAGGAAAGGCCAAGGGAAGCGACCAGAGCCCACTGCCCCTCTTTCTCCAGGCAAACCCAACGCTCCCTAACTGAGGACTCATGTGTTAGCATTCTGCTAAGCACCTCTTATGGGATAGGAACTAGTAGAGTCCATTCCACAGAAAAGGGAGGTGCAGAGAAGCAAAATAATGTACCTAAGGTCAAGCAGGAGCAAAAGGTAGAACTGTTAATCCAGATAGAATATGCTACGCTGCAGGGAAAAAAACAGCTCTAAAAATGTCATTGTTTGAACAAAATAAGGATTCATTTCTCCCTCAAACTGCAAGTTCATCCTGGGTCCGCAAAGGGACCCTGCTTGCTCAGTGACTTTGGGACCCAGGCAGAGGGGGGCGCCAAAGCAGGAAGCTGCACCATCTGGAATAAATGAGCTTCTGTTGCACCGGCAGGCAGGCGAAGGCAGCGCTGGAGGGTCTCACACTTGCAATTAAATGCTGCGGTCTGGAAGCGACGAGTCACTTCTACTGATAGCACACTGGCCGACACTGGTCAGGATGGCCTTGCCCATCGCCGGGGCACCAGAAAGAAAGACCCACTGTTAGTGAATGCTTGTTGCCCACCCGCTGTCCAATGCTATTAATCACTGAGCTGCATGACTTCATCAAGCATGAAGTCCTTGGGGTTAAATTCCCTTTCTGCATTTTGTGTACGCGTCTGCTTCCCTTCCTCCTTTCTGTCATCTCTGTGTTCCTCTAGTACCAACAGAGCGACTCAATGCCAGGTGCTCTGTGGCATGAGGAGTCTCACACTACACACCCTTGGCCTCATTTTAAGAGGAAAGGTGCTCATGCATCCTACACAAGCCCCTGAGATCCAAGCAGATCATTATAAATGAGACATGGGGGCTGGCTCACCTGTCCTGAACTTTGCAGGAGGTAGGTGAGTGAGCAGACAAGGCTTCCTGGAGATGGCCTTTGAGCTGGGGGCCTGAAGATAAGTACAATTTGGAGATGAGAGGGTAAAGGGGCATGGGTATTCAGGCAGAGAAAAGAGCTTGCACAGAAGCAGGGAGGCAGGACAGGTCAGGGGATGCCTCAAACAAGGCTTTATTTCTTTTGACTGTGTTCAAAGGTGAGTCAAGGAAAGACAGGGTCAAAAAATAGATCCTCTGGGAATGTGCCCCAGGGCAGAACATGGAGGCCTCTTAAAGCCACCTGGGGCTAGGAACCCAGGAACAAGTTGGTGACTGAGGCAGGAGCTCCTGCTTGGAGGCCTCTCACAGTGCAGAGTAGCTTGGTGATAAAGGGGCTGCTTTCCTCAGGCTGGGGGTGGCTTAAGGAAGAGGCCGCACAAGAAGAGGCCTAACACAGGGCAGGTTCCTGTGGTCTGTCATGTGACTGGAGAGCCCAGGCCCTGGGAGCCTCCTGTGGTGTCCTGTTCGGCTCAAAATGCCTGCTGGCTCTGCTGATGTGGAGATGAATAAAATATCCCATGTGGACACACAGCAAAGAGGTACCCCAACTTAGAATGCTTGGCCTAACAAAGTTCTCGCGGGAGCCTACATGTATTTAACCTTGCCCCGTTTCCTTCCATTCTATGCTGCTTGTGTGTGCATCCTGGCATGCCACTGTAGACCTGTTCAGCTCAACTTACCTGGCTGCAGTCTTGAGTCAGCTGGGCCCCCAGGCTTCCTATTGACACCCAGGCTGGACTCACCTGGGACACTTGGTCCTGGTCACGCGGCTGCTTCCACTCCACCGCTCCTGCGCTCCTGCTGTGAGCTCCTTCATGGGAATGGGCTGCGTGATCTCTAGTGTTTCTTCAGCTCTCAGATCCCTCCTCACCTGTGTCTTGTATCCCTAGCATACAAAACGGCCCTGTGGACAGCTTTACTTTGCTTGGTTGTTAAATGGATGAGAAAAACAATGAACCTTTGTATTTCTCTAATGATTTTTTTCATTTTCAGAAACATTATCTGTAAACAATTTCAGTTGGCCTTAAATATTAAATACCCTTGCGAAAGGAGCAAAGTGAAATCCTGGCAGATGCTAGTGACCTTGGAGAGTGCCTCAGCCTGTGTGTGGGCACTTGTGTGGATTTGCATCCTACACTGTCTGAGTCTGCATTTTCTTTCACTACAAATTGAAAGGCTTGGAGAGCTGGTAACTTCATTTTCCCCCCAAACCACTGCATTTGCATACACGAAACCAGTCTTACTTCAGCTCCCAGCGCCCACTCCTTTGGGGTTTGGGTCTTCCTCACCCTGCAGTCAGACTAGGCACAGACCACTGGGTGCTGCACCCCCAGAGCAAGCGCCTCTGGCTGTTTGTTCCTGACCTGGCCTCAGGGTTCTGTAACAGACACAGGCAGGTCAAGAAAAGGCATTTGCCCCGAGGCAGGCAGTGACAGTCTGCAATCTCAAAGCAAAAAAAAAAAAAAAAAACTCTTATCTTTTTCCCCAAATCTGGATCAAATCCAGCAAACTTTTAAGTAACTAGAGCTGCTCACACATGAAATAACACAAAACATGGTACTTTTTAAAACATTTATATTTATATATATAAAAAAATTAAATATATATAATATATAGTGTGTTTGAGACTAAAAATATAGTACATAATATTTAAAAAAAAGGAAAATGAAAAAAGGCAGAATAGGAAAAGGAGTGAGGGCCACACAGATACACGTTGCTAAAAATCTACCATGGTTTGTCCTAAAAATAATATTTTTTTCTTCTTCTCTTAATTATCATCATGGACCCATCTATGAGTGGGGTTTGGGTGGAGAAAACTCAACTGGAGCCAGAAATGGAGGTTGCCATCCCCAGTGGCCGGGGTAGAAAACGGGACTGGGGAGCCCTGGGCCTCTTTCTGGTGAAGCTGGAGTCTCCCGGTCCTGACTGCTGACAAGGTCACGTGGAGTTTGACTGAATTGGCTGCTCTCTCCCAGAATTAGGGGTCCTCCCAGAGGCAGCATATGAAGGTCTCCAGAAGTGAATAGACTGGCCCAAGACCCTCCAACACTTGAAAAGGTAGGTATAGGGCCAGCAGGCTGGCAAGAATGATATTCTATGCAAATTGAGTTTGTTTTTGAAAGGCAGACTCCTATGAGAACTACCCAGTATGGCCTGTGACTTCTGCACAGCAATTTCTCCAGGGACAGGGCCTGGAGCTCCCTCACAGTGATGTTAAAAAAAAAAGAGGGGGGGGGGGGGG